AGAGAAAAAAAAAAAAAAAAAAAAAAAAAAGAAAAGAAAATGACAAACGACGAAGTAGTCTCTTTCTTCCGATTTGTATTTCTTATGTCACAAGCATTGTTGCGTACGCGACTCGGTTGGAAGCGAGAGGAGAGCTGGTGTATAGCGTCGGTGTAGAGTGGAACAACCGCATTCCAGGATGCAGACGGTAGAGAGCGAGACTGAAGTTGCTGTGCTGGTTGAGCGCGGGAACGCGATGCAGCGAGGTAGACGAGAGGGGACCAAGGAGGACGAAAGGAACATCGTCTAGTAGTATGCGAATCCGTTCGAGCCTCGTATCTCGTATCTTCCTGCTCGAACCAAAGTGTGCCGCGCACTATATGCGTGTCGAGCACTACGCAAACAGACCTCTGACTTTTCGAATCTTTCCTGGTCTTCTTGTCCAGTCGTATTCCAGAGGACCGATATCGCAGACGAAAGCAAACGAAATGTATTTTCATTTCCTTTTTTTTTTCTTCTTTACCGTTGATTCGTATTTTTAGTTGTTCTACAGGCCACTATTACCTTAAGTCTTTACCTTAAGTCTATTACGCAGTCTTTCGGAGTGTAGAAAAAACGCCACGTTAAATACCACGGTATCGCGATACAAAAGGAGCAACAGAAATGGGAACGGTAAAAAAAGCAAAGTAATCATAGATAGTAAGTATTTGCGATATTGTTGGAAGTTATTATTCCAGATAAACTCGGCTTTTACGCTATGGCGTTTTCCAAAGAGCAAAGAAGCAGGGTTGCGTGATTTTATGGGGCGTGTTTCTTGCTTAGTAGAAAAGTACATACGTACACTATGTACAGCACATACCTACACGTAGTACGTCGTATACTGGTTAGCCCTGAACTTGGCCAGCAGTGAACTACCTCTTTCTTTGCAGGAACGTGAATGCGTGAATGCAAAGGCGTCATCTTTGGCCTCCTTATTTCTCGTTGCGTGCAAACACACGCGTTACGACTATTTCGACGCCAAGCAAGTACACTGTACATGTTACTTTCCACGCTTAAACACGTACCACGAAACGATATTGTCGATCAACTGTCAAAGCTAGCACTTATTTAACAACGATACATTTCGTTCACACCTTGGCCACTCTTTCGTCCATTAGGAATTATCGATCGCGATCGAAAGCACGAACAGAAAATTTGCTGTTCGAGCATATTTTTCTCCGATCTCGGTTCAACGAATTTACTGGAAAGTTTCGTAACGAATCTGTCTCCACGTTGGATGCGTACACCGACAGTATACTGACATGTTGATCAGATTCGGATGAAAGTAGGAAAATAAAGACGAAGTGGAAGTACTTGTGGAATTATCTTTTGTAATTTTGATTATATCGATTATTATTCAGGTGATTAGAGATTTCGTTGATTCTGAACACATGATCGTGAATTTAGCTTTCTTCGCACAAGTATCGATATATTAGGTTTTCAATTAAGTAGAACGGAACTAGGTTTCTATCCAGGTACACGGTGGACTAAATAAAGTATCGATAAATAACTTAATCAGCTACGTAAAGCCAAAAGTGTGTATACTACGAAAATGACGATTAAATATGTTGCGTTCTGCTTATCTATCGCTTATGCGCTTATCTATTTAGGAACTAACAATGACTATCAGACTAGACGGAAGGACAAAAAGGGAATAAGGATCGTCGAAAGAAAATGCAATGACAAAAAGTTTTATATGTCTAGTCAAACGACAAAAAATTTATATGGCCAATTTCTACATGTTTCGAATTAGTTACGTATACATATATGCATATAAACTCGTCAGATTTAAAAGCTTTTGGTCGTGCCTGCACCCGTCGTACACGTATCGTCGAGGTCGGTTATGCCAAGTGAGACAACGCTACTGCAAGTTTTCCTAAGATTTTCCTTATGTTAATCGCTTCCGGATCCTGAAAAGAGACACAAAAATTCCAATAACATCGTACAGGTTACGTGTAAACGAATCAAGTTTAACAGGTCCAGTTACGCGTTATTGAAACTTCCAGTGTTTTCTTGGAATATCGTTTCTTAAAAAGCAACATGCAAATATTTTGAAGATGACCGTGGACAAACGACAAATTCAAGAATAAAATAATTCGTAACTTACCGCCTCTGGCGAAGGATTAGGTTCTGGGTTAGCATTGCTCGCAGAAATAAAGGCAATCATAAAAATGACTGCAACGCAAAGTAAGAATCTCATGGCTTTCATGGTTCTTGAATGTTTGTTATTGCTACGTATGTAACTTGTGCGATTTTCCTGTGTTTGTCGAAATCGTCCGCGGCTCCGTTATTTATACCCGAAAAAAATCGTTAAAATTATCGACGAAGTAATACCTATCGTTATATCCTTCGTATTGTCCACCAAAAGTACCAAAAAAAAAAACATTAAGATAAACGTGTACATTTACCACAAAAAAAAAGCAGTAAGTTACAGTCGATAGCTTAGAACAATAACAGCGTGAAAAGTGCGTAGAACGCGATTTAGAGTGAGAATTACTTTTGCTTATCATATTCGTTGTATTAAACTGTATCGTGTATATTTACGACTCACGTGTAAGGAATATTAAAATATCGATTACGAAAATGGAAATAAGATTCCATCGTAAAGCTTAAAAAATAAGCCTTTTAAAGCTTAAACGATATTCTGAAATTATAGACTTACACTACTGCATGATTGATAGAAATAAAGCAACCATGGAAGTTGGCCTTACAAAAATTTTTCCGCAACCGTTGCATATACAGGGTGGTTGGTAACTGGCGGTACAGGCGGAAAGGGGGCGATTCTACGCGAAAAAAGAAGTCGAAAATATGGAATAAAAATTTCTTTTTTTTATTTAAAAAATTTTTTTAGAAATCTACAGTGAAATCCGTTATAACGAGACGCGATAAAGTGCACGCGTACCGAGCGAAAATTCACAGTCGATTTTCTCGAAAACGAAGCCTCGAACGAAAAATTTTTATTCTATATTTTCGACTTTTTTTTCGCGTAGAATCAGCCCCTTTCCGTTTGTACCGGCCAGTTACCAACCATCCTGTATGTATAGGTAGATGCCAGAAAGATAGTAACGTTGTTTAAAGATAGTAACGAGCATAGAAGTCACCTGCCTGCCATCGTTGTATATTGAAATTGTAACTTTAGGTGCCTTTTTTGCGATTCGTATACATACAATTCGAGATTCGCCAAATCCCCATAGCATTAACCGATGACCGTCCACTTGTTGCTTATTTCTTGGATTGGAATATTACGAACGACATAAATAAGATTGTATAAAGAAGATTATTCAAATTTCACTAATATCAAATATACATGTAACATGTACGGGGTAGTTATTTTTGCCATTATTTTCAGTGTCGTTAGATCAATCGTCGCAATTAATCGAATAGTGAAGTATAGTCACTATTTATCTTATCGCATCGATTCTATCCTCTGTATTTTAATTAAAAATTTTATTAGTCCCAAGATAATAATCTATTTTATACGATGACTCATAGAATCGTAAAAGAAAAGTTTCTATTATATTTTTTAGCGACCGACAATAGTAGAATATAAAATATAAAACAATAATTCGAAAAAATAGACGCTCCAACAACTGTGGTAAATTAAATACGATTAAAAAGAAATTAAATAACTCGGATAGAACAAAATTGAACACTGGCGAATATTTGACTTTTTACTTGAATATCATTGGCCTCCTTATTTCTCGTTACCTACAAACACACGCTTTACGACTATTTTAACGCCAAGCAAGTACACTGTACATGTTACTTTTCACGCATAAACACGTAACAGGAAACAATATTGTCAAAGCTGACAGCTATTTAACAACGATACGTTTCATTCACACCTTGGCCACTCTTTCGTCCATTAGGAATTATCGATCGCGATCGAAAGCACGAACAGAAAATTTGCTGTTCGAGCACATCTTTCTTTGATCTCGGTTCAACGAATTAACTGCAAAGTTTCGTAACGAATCTGTCTTCACGTTGGGTGCGTACAGTATACTGACATGCCGGTCGGACTCGGATGAAAGTCGGAAAATAAAGATGAAGTGATAGCACCTATGGAGTTATCTTTTCTAATTTTGATGATTATTTTGATTATAATTTAGGTGATTAGAGATTTCGTTGATTGTGAACATAATCGTGAATTTAGCTTTCTTCGCACAAGTATCGATATATTAGGTTTTTAATTAAGTAAAACAGGACTAGGTTTCTATCTAGGTACACGGTGGATTAAATAAAGTATCGATAAATAACTTAATCAGCTACGTAAAGCCAAAAGCACGCGATCATGGGTATATCTGTGTATGTGAAAATGACGATTAAATATGTTGCGTTCTGCTTATTTATCGCTTATGCGCTTATCTATTTAGAAACTAACAATGGCTGTTATTTCAATCGGATAAAGTAGACGGGAGGACAAAAAGGGAATAAGGATCGTCGAAAGAAAATGCAATGACAAAAAGTTTTATATGTCTAGTTAAACGACAAAAAATTTATATGGCCAATTTTTACATGTTTCTAATTAGTTACGTATACATATATGCACATAAACTCGTCAGATTTAAAAGCCGTTGGTCGTGCCTGCATCCGTCGTACACGTATCGTTGAGGTCGGTTATTTATTTAAGTGAGACAACGCTACTCCAAGTTTTCCTAAGATTTTCATTATATTGATTGCTTCCGGAGACTGAAAAGAAATACAAAAATTCCAATAGCATCGTACAGGTTACGTGTAAACGAATCAAGTTTAGCAGGTCCAGTTACGCGTTATTGAAACTTCCAATGTTTTCCAAATCGAAGTTAATCAAAGTGGAATATCGTTTCTTAAAAAGCAACATGCAAATATTTTGAAGATGACCGTGGACAAACAACAAGTTTAAAATAATAAAATAATCCGTAACTTACCGCCTCTGGCGAAGGATTAGGTTCTGGGTTAGCATTGCTCGCAGAAATAAAGGCAATCATAAAAATGACTGCAACGCAAAGTAAGAATCTCATGGCTTTCATGGTTCTTGAATGTTTGTTATTGCTACGTATGTAACTTGTGCGATTTTCCTGTGTTTGTCGAAATCGTCCGCGACTCCGTTATTTATACCCGAAAAAAATCGTTAAAATTATCGACGAAGTGGTACCTATCGTTATATCCTTCGTATTGTCCACCAAAAGTACCAAAAGAAACATTAAGATAAACGTGTAAATTCACCACAAAAAAAAAAAAAAAAAAAAATACAGTAAGTTACAGTCGATAGTTTAGAACAATAACAGAGTGAAAAGTGAGTAGGGCGCGATTTAGAGTGAGAATCATTTTAGCGTTAGTTATTATTGTCGTTTCGTGTTTATCTTTAATACGTTTTGTATCTGTCAAGCATAATTTTTACTAATTTATCTTATATTTAATAGCTAGCTATTTCTACGATATCAAAATTATTACTTTTGTCTATCATATTCGTTATATTAAACTACATCGTGCATATCTATAGCCCATGTGTAAAGAATATTAAAATGTCGATTACGAAAATGGAAATAAGATTCTTCCTTAAAGGTTAAAAAATAAGCCTTTTAAAGCTTAAACGATATTCTGAAATTATAGAATTACACGACTGCATGTTTGATAGAAATAAAGCAATCATGGAATTTGGCCTTCCAAGAATTTTTCCGCAACCTTTGCATATATGTATAGGTAGATGCCAGAAATCGTTGTTTAAAGATAATAACGAGCATAGAAGTCATCTGCTTGCCATCGTTGTATATTGCAATCGCACCTTTAGGTGCTTTTTTTTTGCGTCTCGTACACATACGATTCGAGGTTCGCCAAATCTTAATGATCGTATCACGTAATCGCTGCATCCCGATAGCATTAACCGATGAGCGTCCACTTGTTGCTTATTTCTTGGAGTGGAATATTACGAACGACATAAATAAGATTGTATAAGGAAAATTATTCAAATTTCACTAATATCAAATATACGTGTAACATGTACGGGGTAGTTAATTTCGCCATTATTTTCAGTGACGTTAGATCAATTGTCGCAATTAATCGAATAGTGAAGTATAGTCATTACTTATCTTATCACATCGATTCTATCTTCTGTATCTTAATTAAAAATTTTATTCGTCCCAAGATAATCACCTATTTTACTCGATGTCTTATCGAATTATAAAAGAAATGTTTCCATTATATTTTTTGACGACTGACGATAGTAGAATATGAAATATAAAACAGATATTGCTCGAAAAATAGTTATTCCAACAACTGTGGTAAATTAAATCTAATTAAAAAGAAATTAAATAGATCAGGTAGAACGAAATTGAACAGTGACGAATATTTAACTTTTTACTTGAATATCAGTATCTCACCGTCTAAAAGTTCTTTTCTCTTTTATTTGCTCGAATATCGCACTTAAAAAGATAATAATATGTCGAATGTATAAGATATAGATACGATTGAATAAATTGTGTCTTGTAATATTTGAAGTAATGTTTTACTTCATACGTTTGATCATTTAAACGGATCATCCCATTATACGATTTATGGTATACGTAGTTGTAAAATTGCGCAAAATTAATATCATTTATAGAATGAAGACTGATTCATGATTCACAAGCAACGATACTTCGTTTCTTTGATCCGTTGAAAAATACAATTTCCTTTCCGCCAATGAGGTCAGTACGATAAAGAAATAGACACAGATAACGAGGAACAAGAAATTAACGGCATATGATTTTTTATACGTTAATCGCGTATCTTGTTAAGGTAGTGATATTGATTGAAGATATCTATCCCGATAAGGGTGAAGTTTCCATGATAAGCCAGCAAAGGGTATTTCTACACCTCCAAGCTTTTCAGCATTCGTGGATGAACATTCGTAGCATCGACGTGAATTAAATAGTTATAGCAAGAAACATGAGAGTGCACGAATTTTTAATAATCTTGTTCACGATCGGACTCGTTGCCTCGCAATCGGGTAATGTATCAGTGCAATCAAATATCCACTTATAATTTTTAAATTTACATATGAACAGATACTATATATTTGTCTTTAAATTAGGGGAACAAACGCTCAAGTGCTTCAAATGCGACGGCGATTCGTGTAAAGAACAGAAAGTTTCCACGGAAATGTGCAAGATAAATCCTCCAGACACGAATACAACCCCAACTGAACCATCGACTGAACCATCGACTGAACCATCGGCTGAACCATCGACTGAACCATCGACTGAACCATCGGCTGAACCATCGACTGAACCATCGACTGAACCATCGGCTGAACCATCGACTGAACCATCGACTGAACCATCGGCTGAACCATCGACTGAACCATCGACTGAACCATCGGCTGAACCATCGACTGAACCATCGACTGAACCATCGGCTGAACCATCGACTGAACCATCGACTGAACCATCGGCTGAACCATCGACTGAACCATCGACTGAACCATCGGCTGAACCATCGACTGAACCATCGACTGAACCATCGGCTGAACCATCGACTGAACCATCGACTGAACCATCGGCTGAACCATCGACTGAACCATCGACTGAACCATCGGCTGAACCATCGACTGAACCATCGACTGAACCATCGGCTGAACCATCGACTGAACCATCGACTGAACCATCGGCTGAACCATCGACTGAACCATCGACTGAACCATCGGCTGAACCATCGACTGAACCATCGACTGAACCATCGGCTGAACCATCGACTGAACCATCGACTGAACCATCGGCTGAACCATCGACTGAACCATCGACTGAACCATCGACTCAACCATCGACTCAACCATCGATTAGACCATCTGAATCACCGACCACGGCTCCAACCGAGAATAAATCAACGGCCACGGCTTCAGTCACGACTAACTCAACGACCAACGCTTTAGCCAAGAAACGTAATATTTATCTCGTATGATTCAGTTTGTAATCGTTGTTCCTTTGATGTATTAGAAGGGTTTCAGCTCCTGTTTCATAACGTACAGTAAAAATATAATAGATTGGATAGTTGTGCAAAATTAAATTACAAATTATACTTGTTATATCTTTACAGTACATAATATGTTTTTTATATGTATTTTTAGTTGACATGAATACCGATAGAAAGCGTAGAAGTGTAATCGGTCGGTTCCCACGAATACAGTCCGTTAATGGCAACGTTACATATCACTGTTATTTAAAAATTGGTAAGGCATTTTTCTATATTATTTTTTCGATACGCATAGTTTATTCGAAGTTTGTGTTGACGTGAAACACGTAAATGAACTTAGGTTTTGTTAATTAGTTACACATGTATTTTTCTCTTATAGAGAATGGCACGGAATCCAGGGGTTGTACCACGGAAGATAATTTCTGCAAAAATAACAATTCTACATGTAAACTCTGCGAAACGGACGAATGCAATTCGGCAACGTCAACTGTTGTATTTACATCTATGATTTTCTCTTTGGCAGTAATCCTATTATTTGTAAGATAAACTAATAGTTTTCTTATCTATCGTAAAGCCACCTTTTTTAACAACAACAATCAACAATGCCTCAGCAACGATCAACTAGATTTTTCCATTTCTTCTTGATAAAAAAAAGACATTGTATCGAACGGACATAGAGTTTTATAAATTTAACAGTAAGAAAGAAGTGGGATTCTATTGACAATTATAACTAAAATAACATATTGTACATATATCTATAAAGGTGTAAAATAAAAGCTTTATTTATGTAATTTAAGATAGAACCAAAATTACACGAGCAGTAATTGTTGGTTTGTACAAGTTGTGAACCTCCGTCCCTCGTATACAATCTATACATTTTTAAAGATATAATATATATAATAATCACGTAAATCAGGACATTGCACTTTGCGTCGGCAATGAAATTAATTGTAAACAAAAGTGTATTAAGTATGGTTAATTTGATGTTTAACTAGCAAACCATTCACCGCGGATCGACGTGTATGCAAGGGCAACGAACTCGATGAATTCGATACGTTCCAGTCGTTATCCGTTATATTCAAGCTTTTCGACATAAATGTTTCTCACGCGAGAGTAGCGCGAGCGTCGTTAGTTCCAATATGCAAAGAAATTGCATTGAACGTGTAGCAATAATAACTTGGAACGCTATCAGATTTCCATCGACTTTCCGTCGAAATAACAAACAGGAACGTGGACAAAATCGACAATATCGACGCGGGAAAAATTGCGTGTTTCTGTTATCATTTTTCTGCGTAACATATTTCTAATAGTAATATTTTCAGGTATTCAAGTAAATATCTAATTTTCAATATGCAGAAAGATCCTAGAGGACAAACACAAAAAGCAAAATGCGAGTGAGCTGGAAGTTAGAACACAAAGTTAGAACACACTATGAACGAGTTTAAATTCAAAGGATACGTCGACAAAAAAATGGATATATTTGGACGACGTGACGTCGAGCGACGAAAGACGAGTATAAAAAAAAGAGAGGAGACATGGAAGAATAGTAAATTAGCGAAGAAGGCGTGCGTGAACACGAACTGTGTCGAACGTCACGATACGAGGCAGTGCATGATGCGCGATTAAGTACATGAATTGAGATTCGGACGTGCTGGTGGCCGGAGCGGTTCGCGCTTCGCGCGCCTCCACGGTGGTGTTCGTTGGGAATTCTGGGCAATTCTGGCGTTGCTCGCAAGGGTACGCGCGCGGTCGAGCAACTCGATTCGTCGGAGCTGCGCCAAGCACTCCTCAGTCTCCACGACTCCGCGAGGAACCTCGGTCTACAGTCTATCGTCACTGTTCGTGAGCGTCGTTTCGGCAGAGTTTTTCCGTCGCTTTCGCGTTTCTTTCAGAATTGCTAGCACACGAATGTTCCATTATTCTGTCCGTAACCTATCTCTTGTTCTCTTTTACCACGTCGCCGAGTGATAAGACTGAAAAAGAGGAAGAGAAGGAGAGGGAGAGACGGGAGAAACTCCTCTCGACGTGGATTCACACATCCTCTTCGATTAATCGACTCGTTCTAACCCTAAGCGAAGGAGTCGCTTCTCATAAACGGTGGATCAGGTGACGCGCGTCGATCGGTGTATCGAACGAGCTGTCATCGTGGCAACAGCAGTCATGCACGATCGACGCGTTTGAATCTTTCCCGTGTTCGTCCCTAAACGTGAAACAGGATTTCGAGACCCCCAACCTTTCGCGGATTACTCTGCACGGACGTGTAAGTATGTATATCATTTTCTTTGACACACGCATTTATGTATATAAATTATATTATGTATATAAATTAGTACTTAGCCGACTAGCGGCAAGTTTGCCGAAATATTTCGAGATGTCGATGGATTAAGATGTCGAGTTTCGAGATCCATTAAACATATCTTTGACAGATTAAACCGAAATCTTGTACCGTTGGAATTTGCGTTGCGCCGAATGTTACTCGATCGAACGTGCGTAGACGTATCGATGACGCTTTGAACTTCGAAAATTAGAAGAACGAGGAACAACGGCGTTCCTCTGGAAAAGGACGCAGCAACGCGACCGATCCGCCTGTCTACATTACTAACAATAAAGAGAGAGAAAGAAATATCACTATTATAGACGGTAAATCGCGAGAAACGCGGCTGTATTTATGTCGATACGTGATGCGAATTTCACATTTTGGTTGCTCCTTATAAACATTAGATAGACCGATTCTTCCTGTGCATTCTGTGACTTTGTTTCGTACTTATATCGAAGAACACCCGGACTATTTCGATTACGATCACAAGATTCCACAATACCCATTGCAGTAGGCAGATATCCTAATTTACAACGATGTTTATTTACTCATTGATAGGATTTGAAAAATTGTTCACGTCCCGACCGCTGCATTAAACCACCTGTGCGCGTTGTTTCCCTTCGATTTTGTAGATTGTAGTTTCAGTGGATCGCCACGACGAGCGGTTACGGGCTTATCCCGGGATCGAAGATCTTCGGCGCGTTAAACTCGTTAGGGGAACTTGTCCACGCCTACGATTAGTTTCCGTTAACGAGGATAACAAAGCGTTCGGTTAACCGTAAATCGTTGTTGCGCTACGCGCAGGAGTCGTAAAGTTGAATACACACAGAGCGTCCGTAGTTTGCGAGTTCAATTTGCACATTCGCGCTCCATCAAACACGTATCTTGTTCTTCCTTCTCCTTTAATTCTTTGGTAACTGGGAGAAGACACTGAAAATCCTTTTTGAAAGAATTGCAGAGGAAAAGACGACGACGGTGACTTCGCTTCTTTCTCGAGAGAAGAAAAAGTCTGTTACTTGAAATCAGAACGCGGGAACAGAAGCAAAAGGGAAACGCGATTACGAACCGTAACTCGGTGTTGCGCGCACGTTAAATCGATCAATGTCTACCCATCGCACGCCATTCCGTTACGATAATTAATTTTCGCGCAATTCGTACGCTCGATATCTCAACTCGATGAAAACGCTAACTGGGAAAATTTGAAATTTGTAATTGCAGCATGAAGAAAGAGACTCGTAATCGTTTGACTGAGCATATTTATTTTCGTAATCCGTTGAATAAAGTTCACAAGCAATCCTTGGAACGTTGGTAAGCGTTGGACCGACTTAACTGCGCGACAGGGATGGAACGCAGAACCGCGAAATCGCTTAACTAATCACGCGAACTGACTATCGATAGCATACCTGAAAATTAGATAAGTATGTCAGGCACAAGCAGCGAATAAATCGTATCGAACATGACCGTTTTTTCAATGAAATTCGTCGTACGTATAATATTGTTTCGTAACAAGGTGAATATCGTTTCGTTCCCACTTTGATACAAATTCTCCGCTTTTCTTCTTTTTTTCTTTTTTCTTCTTTCGAACATATAGTACGATTCTTGGGAAAAAGGCGCTTATATTAGGACGATAGTTTTTTTGAATTTTTAAGAAACTCTGTTGTTCGTGTCGTCGTCATTATCGTCTCAACTACAGCGTGGCCGCAACGAACGATAACTTCTCATCGATCTGGATCTAGATTTTGACAATTGACGTTCAATTCGTCGTAGTCGCGTTGATGTGTTCGTTTGTTTAGAGTGCAAAAATACGCCGCAACGGAAATGACGCGGCTGGTAATCGCAGGTAAAAAACGGAAAGTGGAAATACTTATCGAGCGAGTCTAAGTTCGAAAGAAACAACTTGAGTTTTTCCAAGTGCGTTTGTTCGCTGTTACGTGAACATGTCGACGCGTATATATACAGGGTGGTTGGTAACTGATGGCACGAGCGGAAAGGGGGCGATTCTACGCGAAAAAAGAAGTCGAAAATACAGAATAAACAATTTTTTTTTAAATCTACAGCGAGGTCCGTTATAACGAGACGCGATAAAGTGCACGCGTACCGACCAAAAATTCAAAGTCGATTTTCTCGAAAACGAAGCCTCGAACGAAAAATTTTTATTCTATATTTTCGACTTCTTTTTTCGCATAGAATCATCCCCTTTCCGCTTGTATCACCAATTACCAACCACCCTGTATATATATGTATGCCCACTATGTAACACGTACGAATATAGTAATTAGTATTTTGTGTGTGTGTGTGTGTGGGTGTGTGTATACTATATACATATACATTATTACATATATGTAACATAGCTGCTCGAGTATGAATCTCGCGCGGTCAGAGAAATCAGGAATCTAGAACTTGGCGAGAGAGTAAGAACCGCACGATTCTCCGGATATCCGTTCACGCTACGAGCAATCGAAACCCGCCAGCCGAAGCCAGTTCACCCACGACATTGAAAGTTACGATCGGGGAGAAATCGGATTGCGTTTTGCCCGGCTGCTTGCTTACTACGACAAGATTAATTTTGCGTTAACAACGGTTACGTTTATTCGCATTTCCGCATTACTTCGTTTCCATTTCATTTTCCTCCTTTTCCTTTTATCTTCCTTTTTACATCCGATATCTGTCTCTAAATGCTATCCAAATACGGACGACTTATCTCGTGCTCTTCGCGAGTTAAGATACGATACGCGCACTTATGTTATGCAAAAGTCCGAAGCAGAGAAATATAACGACAAGGGGGCAAAGTGAAAAGGAAAGAAAAAGAACAGAGAAGAAGACGCAATGAGGCCCAGGGCTCTTGTCCGGTTCATCGACCTATCGTCCGGTCTCCTTAGCCTCTCGTTCTTCACCTTTCTCCCGACACTTGGTTTCTCTTTCTCTCTGTAAACTTTTCCGTTGGTCCCGAGTCGCTTCCCAACCAGTGTAGGAATCTCGCCTTGGTCACGGTACGAAAGATACTCGGATTTCGCGATGAAAAAGATGCTCGCGACATTCGACCAGTTTCCATATTTCTATCATAGAACGTATAAAATCACTTTTCGCCCTAAGAGCTTGTTCGTAACTTTCGCTTACGTGGTACAATGGGGAAGAGATACCGATACAATTTCGTTTGACAACGAGACTTTGTCCTTCCAAACGATACAACTTCAAAGAGACATTGTACGAGAACCTTTCGAAGAATCAACGTTTCTTAGTTAAATAAGTACGTACGTAACTGATGGTTATCGCGCTGTGTTCATAACATCCACCACTGTGCTCACATTTGTCTTCGCTTCGTCTTTTATTTAATTCTTCGATTTAATTAAATTCTTCTTTTCATTAATTTCTTAAAATATTCTTTAATTTTTTTAATTTAATTAATTATTGTGTAACTGTGAAGTTCGTTCTTTATTTTTAACGGTTACACGCGTCAGATATATGCATAGGTAATTGTC